AGAAACCAAGCACATCTATATAAAGAAATCTGGAATCGTCAATGAAAAATCAAAATATTATAAACTTTATGCCATACCCTTCATCTCCAAATTCCTACTTCATATTGGAGCAGTAACTTAAACACAGATCTATAATCACAACTTATTCGTGAAGTTCGTAGAACCACTCAAGACTTCTATTAGCATCAGCTTGCTTATTTGACCTACTTAATCCGGCCATCATTCTTCAAGCATGGTTCAAGCATGTTGAGAACATTTGATTTTAATTTGTTTATTGATAGTTTACATGCTTGTTGGTTGTCATTAAATAATGTGTAACTACATTCTGGATAGTTCTGAAGTTAGCTTGACTAAAAATTTGAATACTTTTGGCACAGGTTGTTGGAGCATACTTTGAAAAAATTGGATCAAAATGTTTTGCAGTTCACTCTATTGCTGTGATTGATGCATACTTTCAGTTTCTTTTAGCAAGACCTGGTTTGTGAGAGAATACTTGCATGGTGCAGTACCTGGTTTTTTTAGGTTGTTTAGCAAGACCTGGTTTGTGAGGGCAAGACCTGGTTTGTACTCAATTTGGGGCTTGTTTACGGTCAGTTTGTATTATGATTTGTGCTCAGTTTGTACTTAATTTGACCTTTTGTTTGATTTCTAGAAATGGAAAATGTATGCGCAGTTTGTACTCAATTTTGAGCTTGTTTATGGTCAGTTTGTATTAAATTTTGTGCTCAGTTTGTACTCAATTATGAGTTTGCTTGTGGTCAGTTTGTCCTCAATTTTGAGCTGTTTGGAAGAGCTGTTGTGCACATTTTATGCATTTATATGTACTGTTCTGTTCTCTAAGTATCATAATTTGTTGTTCTTGAAGATACATGCATAAAACTGTTGTCCATATTTTCTGCTTGTACACTGTTTGGAAGAGCAAAATGAGCTGTTTGTAATTTTTTTGTGTTGTATCATGGTTTTACAAAGAAAGGGTAAAGCTGCCTAATTTTTGTTGCAGATTAGTTTCTGTGATTAAGCAGCTGAAACTACATTGATTTCGGGTTGTAATTGGTTTGACCGTCATCGCCTAAGTGAGTTGTAAGACTTGATTACCTGCATGAGAATCTGTAAGTTTTAGATGCTGGATCCAGTGACAGACTTGTGGAAATGTTCATGGGACTTGATTCGGCTGTTTGTAGAGATTGGAACCATTTATGGACTTTTAGAGGCTGAAATCGTTAAAGATGCTGAGACAGTGACCAAGTTTTAGATGCTGGAGCCATTGGCAGACTTGTGGACATCTCCAAGAGTATTGAGATGCCAGTTGAAGCCAGCAAATAGCACATACAAGCTCACATTGTCTTCATTAGGTGACAAAGACTAAACAAATATCTCAACTCACAGTACTTTCAAGTTTCAACTTTCAGCCTTCTCTCGCATTCCAATCCTCTATTGCAAGAATCAAACTAATCACTTATTGATATAGCATGGCGACAATCACTGTGAAACATGAGGAAGAATGCAGGAATAACTGAATATTTACAAAAGAACAAGAATGCTTACGCCAAAACCACAAAATGCACCAGGAGAAGCACAGAGAAAGAAATATTTCTCCAACACTGCACACCGCTGTGATACAATATAATCCAGTTCCGAATTTTTGGCCAAAAATCAATATAATCCAGAGTTGCAGGTATCAGAAAAGGCTAGTCAATACAATAAAAGCAAGGTGTTGCCAAACAAAGTATATAAATTGTATCTCCAGTAGTATTCATATTAACTTGAATGCATACGAGTTATCCTGTTCACATGAATGTATATAAATTGTATCTCCAGTAGTATTCATATTAACTTGAATGCATACGAGTTATCCTGTTCACATGAATGTATATAAATTGTATCTCCAGTAGTATTCATATTAACTTGAATGCATACGAGTTATCCTGTTCACATGAATGTATATAAATTGTATCTCCAACACTACACACCACCCAGAAAAGAGAACCCGCCATTGATTCAAACTCCTTATCATCTTTCTGTCACTTTGAAATAAGGATCTCAATGTAGTCTCCTTGTCAGATCCAAAAGCCTACAAAATAAAATATGTTACAAATCAGTAACTATAACTCAGCAGAACATCTGAAAAGCTCTAAGTTAATAGACTTGGGTCTCAAGCTGTAAGTATGAAATGAAGATTTAAAGTTGCAATGGAGCTAACCTAACATAATCTTTTGGAAATAAATTAGCAAGGAAACACATTAAACAACAGAAATACGTACATGGACTAGGGTAGCCCAGTGAAACAACCTCAAAATCCAGCACACATGCATTTGTTTAGCTGCAAATTTCATGACAAATAACGACAAAAAACAATTCAAGATCGTGATATATGGCAACATTGAGCTATGAAGTTTCATGAAAACAAAATATTAATTGTACCTTTGCAAGTTGACTTTACAGCTTGTTGACCCTACTAGTATATATATATTAATCGTGATATATATATATAATCGAAATTGATCAAATTTCATAACAAATCAACATCTAATCTGCATTGCATTACAAGGAGATGACAACGAAACTCAAACCCTTCAACGTCACGGAGTAAATGATTCCAGAATGGTTATCCAAATAAAGTCCCTGCAGCAAAAACGAACAGATTCGACTCTGACTCTTACTCTGAATAAAGTTTACGCAGCAAATGCAAACAGATTCTACTCCGAATAAAGTTCAAGCAGCAACAACGAATAGATTGGACTCTGAATAAAGTCCCCGCAACGAAAAAGATCAGACAGTCAGAAGATATCTTCAACTGAAAGAGCTACATAGACTAAAACAT